GAGCTTGCGAAAGAGTGAACAAAGGTGATGGAAGGCTGAGCAATCAATTAGCAAGCCTTTATATTTTTTCCATAGTGGAGAGACTGCAAGCCTTACTTCTTGTGGAGGTGACCTACCCCGGTCATCTAGTTGAATAAATTCCACACGCTCCATGGCTTATCACAAGGTTAACAATGCAGACCTTCGCACAGCATCTATTCCCATCACGCTGCCGGACATGAGACTTGCAGATTTCCTTAGCGTACGCCAGAGAAATCAACATGCGTGAATTATTTCCAGTTCTCCTGGGAATTGATAAGACATTGTCGGAATCTTGAAATCCCAAATAGTCTACCGTCGCAGTGCCTTGGTTTGGCTGTCCGTTATGCAGGGTGCCAGTCTACGCCCGATATCTATCAAGTGAGCGGGGACCTGAGCGTCAAGTGCCGCTGAACAACAGTGCTTGAGTTTCGAGTGGTTTCCCAAATTGCAGCAACAGTTGATACTCTTTTCATGGAAGCCTGAGGCCGCGGCTATGTCATATAATCTGATATGGTTGAACGGTTCTGCACGAGAAGACCCCCAACTGCCATCAAGAAATGTGTGAATGGTTACTTTCCAGTAAAGTGCTAACAATACTATCTGTTCTCACTGATTCAATGACGGAGATACCATTGTTGGTGTCGACTTTCTGACACACAGTGTGACTGTCCAACATCTCGATGAGCGATAACCGATAGTGTCAGAAAACTGGGGCTCGAAGCCTAAGTAGTCTGCTGACTCTGGGATTATTGTGATCTGTTCAGGTTGTAGTGTGTCCGAATGTCGGCTGGTTGATTTTCTGGCTAGCTCGGATGATGAGGCACCCGACAGGTGCGGCTACTGGCAGACTGGTGGTCAGTGATCAATGATGAGATTCGAATGAATTTTGAAATTACGATTTGATACACAAAGCCTGTTGAAATATGGACCCTGGTAGACAGTCGTCAAGAGACCACATCACAGCGAGATAGCCAAAAAGACTGTTGCGTCCTGCCGTGGAGAAAGGTGTATGGTAACTTGTCAGAATACCATTGATATCGATAATTTTAAACATGAAACCTACTAGTACATACGTGGCAATTACATCAGGAACGATGCTGACTCATACTGAAACTTGAAAGCGGTTAGTAGCAAGCGGTCATGTTGCTCACTAGGTGAGAAAAACTTAGAACGCAGTGAGGCCCTCCCACCCGATTGTCTTATTTAAATGATTATTATCTTGTCAAGCGATTGAGCTTCTCATGTTGCCAAACTGCTGGACAGCTCTCACTAGGTATGCCTCAAACCCCTCATAGTATGCTCCGAAGTATTAATATGAAATGTAGTATGTACGTATACAGCCGATAGATTCAATTCGGTCGAAGTCAACCGTGACGCTGATTTTGAGTCTTGACTTTCCTCAATCGCCGCATGTGCAGATTATCTGATAGGTATACCAAAATTCCTTTTGTGTACTAACCGCATTGAAGGAGGCGCTGAACGTCGAAAACCCATCTGCACTCGAGTACATCGTCCGTGAAAAAGCGAAAGGCGTTAACTTGGCGTCAGCCACTGCTAGAGTCGAAGTTACCCTCCAGAAAGGTGGGACAAATTCAAGTGACCAAGGCAAGTGATTCACAGTCTCTTCACATCCTGCCACTGATAACCTCACTTTCATTGAGCAATTTGAAAGTTTTCCCCACATCATGGATGGGCCGCAATGATTAAGAACCCTTGATTTACTCGACAAGGCTCGGTGCTAATGGCGTTGGTTCCTGCGCGAAGCTCTTACTGACCTGGGCATCCGTCACGGACTCGCCTATACCCCTCCAAGCAGAAACAACGCGCAGATAAGCATCTGTCGTGGATGTCAACGCTGGTTTCAATATCAGCCTTCCACTTATCCACTTCTAAGAACGCTAGAAGCATCCGGACGAGTACAGATCCGCCTTTCTCGGGCTTTTCCCGCTTTCTAAAACGTCTGGTTTTGAGAGTACTTCTTCAACGCCGGTTTCCCCGAACTCTGCTCAGTGATGGTTACACCGTCTTTGTGAGTTCATTTGCTCCGGTGGTGGCGTTGCAATTGTGTTTCAGCTAAGTATATAGTCTTGCGACATGCGAAGCGGTGAGCATGTTACATATTTCATTGATGTAGAAATTTCTGGAAAACTGATTTGACTTTCTGATTCTGGTCGTGCTTTCAACTCGTCCACGATAATATTTCGTAGGGAGTTACCGATCCATGGGGTCTCGTCTGATGAACTTGCTAGGTGGCGTTGGTCGGGGATACTGTTTGTGGTCTCGGTACCTGGATCTCGTACAACGAGAAATATCACGCTGACATCGAAGGTTCTGTCGTGAGTTGTCTGGCGTGACTCAGGCCCTGGTTTATGTGAGCCTCGTTGCTTGTGGTACCATCGGGACAGCTATCATCATATGGCTAGATGGCCGAGCGGTCTAAGGCGCTGGAATCAGGATCCAGTCCGAAAGGGCGTGAGTTCGAATCTCACTCTAGTCAAATACCTTTTTGTCTATAAAAAGGAGTCATCCTTTGAATAGGGCACACTGGGGTAACGTGTTAAAGATCCAAACAAATACATAAATGTGTGAGCGAAAAAGTGTATGGTGAGTAGTAGTATTCTAGTTGGAGGTATAACACTGTAGGCAAAGTTACTAAAGGTCCGAAGTGGTGTCAGAGTCTGGAGGCCCTTCCTTCCATTTCTCCCACATCTTTCTGCAAACCGTGCTCGCAAGGACAAAGGGATCGGGCGTCCTTGCTTTTTCCCACATGCGGACAGCGAGTTCAGCATGGGCGCCCGATTCAAAACTACGTTGTAAAGTGGTCAAAACCTTGAAGGATGGCGAAAGAAGGTCGTGGATTGGTTCCAACAAAGGGGTAAGGGGAGGAGGTAGTTTTACTAAAGTAGACTCTTGCCTGGAATAAACACGATTAAGCTTGATTTGCGATTAATGCCGTAAGTGACTCACCATGGATGTCTGGCCTCTTGCTTAGGGAACAACTGCCCATCGACTGGATATGGCGTGCCCTCGAGCTGGATGTTGTCTCCATCTGTAGGCGTGCTGTGAAACTGCTCCCCTGATTGTCTCTGATGTTCTGCCCAATAATCGTCCCACTGCTTCTGCACCTCGTCCTTGTGGCGCTGCCAATGATCCTGGTGATCCAAATCCCACATCATGAGGTCCAATCTCTCCTGCGTTGCCCACCGACTCCTACTCGTCCAGAGGTACCAGCCCTCCTCCCAATACCGTATGTCATCAGACTTGGGTGTTGATAAGTTGTCTACATTAGGCTGGCCCTCAGGTGGAAGGGGGTAACCGTATTCCTTTTGAGCGGCTTTCTCCTTCAGTGCATCATCGTGTGCGATCGCTGTTCTAACTTCATGAGCAAAGACCCTGCGGAAGCACACTGAACGACACGTCGGTTCACGGCCCTCGGTGCGTCCACGGGTAGTCTGAGAGCAGTACGAAAAGCAGCGCTCGTCGGTCTGTGGTGAAAACTTTCCTGTAAAAGCACGGATGATATTAAACTCGAATCCGGGAAATAGAGAAGATTGGCAGCTTGCCAGAGGGGTGCCGAGTCACTGAAATAGAAGGAAGTGGCCACATACTTGAGCGGCTTTGCGGTTCCTTGCGCGTGGTGGATTGAGTGGCAGTATTATGAGGCAGCTCCTTTCCAGTAGAGTCCTTATTTTCTGCGTCTGGAGAGTCCATTGGGTTACTCATAGGAGTACACGGTGACAGTCGGTTAACAAGGGCTTTGGTGCATGAGTCTCGCCCCGCATCGGCGTCTCGGCAAAATTAGGTTCGGAGTTTCAATTATGCCCATAACAGAAACGTCACAAAATTTTGTCCCTTCAACCGCATCGTCTGAAGATTCGCTGTCGCAGCACACGCACGGAAAGGTTTTACTTTCTTCTTTGGCTGCGGGGAAAGTCCCCGGAGAAACAGGGTTATACCTCCTCGTTCGCAATGGAAATCTCCCAGCTCTAAGAGCGCTGCGGGGAACGAGACTGGTTGGGAAGGTCGATTTACTGGACTTGTTGCCATCAGGCTCAGGACCAGTTCCGCTTGCCTGTCCTGTTGCTTTCTTGATTTCGAGTGCTCTTCTAACTGCACGGCTATGCGAAGATATGAGCCTGGTCGTGTTCGAGTATCTTGGAAGACGGTTGGCGCTTCGTTGCTCATAGACATAGTTATGCGATTGTCGACACTGCTTCTGGCATGTCATCAACTCAATGGGGCTCACTCTCATTCGATGTGGTTTCCCGCCTTTGGGCATTATTTTTTGACCTTCCGAACGTTTGCCGTTCGACCCATCTAATTCTGTGTGGGTTTTAATTATGGTGAGTAACTGTTTCGTTTTGGTTGATTTATGATGTTGGTTTTTTCGTTGAATTTCTTCAGGGAGTTGACCTCTTTCGAGGGTGTGCTCCACAACTTGACATCCCCTGACATTCTTTGTCTTCTTGAAAACTTGTTTCTGATTCGTCCTTTGTCAGATGCAAATCATGGGCCTTTCATCAGACAGCCGGAGTTGTAAATAACGTGTTGTAGGTCTGGCTCGTATTTTTGTTGTCTATGTAAATTTTAGAGTTTCGGTGAAGACGTTGCACCTTCAGAAAATTGTTTGTGACCAAATGGAGTAAAAGTTTTGCTACGATGTTTGTTCTGCAGTAAGCACACAGCGTCATCAAGTGCAAACGCGACAATTTTACTTTTTATCTACCGTGGTCGGTGGTTCTTTGATCGACAATGACATGAGGCAACGAGTATAAATCGATATGAATCACTCATTTGATTCTCGCTTCATAAATCTCTCGATAACGTATTCAGTGGCGGCAGCAAATACTGATGTCCAACGCGAGCCTGCAAGAGATTCTCGCGCGCTACTCTGATCCATCTCAAAACCCATACGTGCAAGTCCGATCACAGGTGCGTGGTGCACTTCTCTCAAGAAATACACTGATGCCTTGACTTTTCAGACGCCCGAGCCGAGTTCATCGCAGCATGTGGCGCAAACGCTACATCCTGGATTTAACATGTCCTTAGGCACTCCTTCCGCCAACCAGTGGAAATCAAGATGGAAGCTAGATATGAAAGTGGTCAGTAATATATTAGTTTTGTGGCGTCGTGTGCTAAGGCGCCACATCGCAGTTCGAGAAACCCCTGCAGGTGCTGGACTCTAGAGGATGTTATATCCAGTTTCCGACTTCGAGGTCGGTTTATCACGAAGAGAGGTCCTCATGAGTTCTGATTAGGCCTGCAGGACCCATTCACAGTCATGCGTGCAGCAGGTCCTGCAAGAGCATGCAAACTCTGTCAAGTCTTCATGCTACACAGATGAGAATTTACGTGCCGTGCCAACCCCTACGCACGATGCTGCACCTGTGAATCACACACAATCAGTTCCTGATGTTCCACACATGCTTTCTTCCCAGTAGGTGTTGTTATTCACGTGGATACAGGCAATCTGATAGTAGTTCTAGATCCTATGTTTCCCAAAGGTTCTGGTCCAAGTAGGGTGCCGTTATTCACGCGCATACTCAATCTGACATCAGTTCTAGACATCAATCAGACTCTGAAGCTATCGAGGAGACGATGAGTGTCCCGGCTCTTACCAGCCTTAACGTGCAGTCTTCCGCGTCTGGGCCGTCTGGCGGTCATGTAGACCCTATCTTTATCGCCAATGAATCAGATGCATCGTTCATGTCAGATCTATATAGGCCGATAATGACAGACGCAATAACGGACAAAGAGAAAGGGGGAACAGACGAGGAAAAGGCAGATTCAAGAAGGGAAGCAGAGAACAGGGAAGCAGAAAAATTAGAGATAGAAAGAATGGAGATACAAGAAATGGAGTTGGCAACCAGGGAGGCAGAGACAAGGGAAATCGAACGAATAGAAATAGAGAAACCGGAGATAGAGAGGCAGGAGTCTACAGTGGCTAACGAGGCAGGGACAAAGAAAGAGCCACGAGTTTCTCCAGCCACGAATACCTCAAAACTCCTTCGAATGGAGCGCAAGCTTAACAAGAAGGATCTCTTCATGGGCTGGTACAAGTCCAAGGGCTCGTCAGAGCTTCGGTACCCGCGCGAGTGCATAGCACCCAAGATCGGCGATGTCTATGTCCACTCCTGCAAGAAAGAGGGAAATCCGAAGTTTCAGCTATGGGTGCGACAGATCAGCCGTGGGATGACCATCTGGGTCAAAGCTCACATTTTCCACATACACCCCAAATTATTCGACCGCAGATTAACGCTGGCGACGACAGGAGAACCCTACTGGTCAACGAGACTTTCGCTTTCGGCTTCGGGAAGTCGGGAGAGAGCTGGCAAGATTGCAGACATGATTCTGTATTGACTGGCCTGGTGGCTTGGTCCTGCAGACGGTACTACTTTACATTAGTGCTGACCCAGACGATAATACCATACTACAATACTACTAACCTCAGGTAGTCTAGGGACCTTGTACGATTACTGTTGACTTACTACGATCTTCACTTGATTTTCTAGGTGTAGCGATGTGCAAATGGTGACTTCATATCTAAGTTTTGAGACGTGGCACTAGCACACAAGACGACTTGTAAAATATGTTGTTCAAAACGTTTATTTACCCACATGCCAAGACTGTTGGAAGCCCAGACGTTTCCCTGGAAGCATGGCAGGTTTGCAAACCCTCAAAAAGGACGACCCGTCCCATGTCGTACGCCTTTGCCACTCGGGATAGCAGTCGGAAACTTCTGCTGACGAAAGAAAGAGGCACGTAAAGAGCTTCTCACTTCACTAGGTCTGCCTTCGTAACTGGACTGTGCGTCAACTGTATCTGATAACCATCGTGGAATCACTGCACATTCCCATAGAGGGATGATGGTCGCTGCTTCAAAGCCGATAAGGCCAGTCATTCAAACTGTATCCGCATCTGTAAAGAGTGCCAATCCGCTGAAGATGGAATCCCTTGGTACTGCTGTGATGAGCCACTTGCTTAGCTATCAAAACATACTCCTTTTCGTACCAGTTGTGGATGACTCCCACTCACTTCTGCCCGTAAATTGCTCCAAGAACATCTAAATATGGTGGAGGATCGACATCTGTTGGGATCGACATTTGATGAGATACATGTGTCGGGAGCACGAACAATGTCATTGAGAGCACGACAAAATGGTGTGCCAATTATGGGTTCAACGACGAAGTGGAGTGAAAAGGGGCTCAAGTAAAGAGATCTCGCTCTTTCCAATTGTGGAGCGAATATCCAGAAGATGGTGTGTAACCTGATCACGGTCTTTCCTATCTCCAGTTCTGACTGGGAGGGGTACCTTTATCTTAGTAAGTGCGTGGGGCATGAGTGAGACAAGACAAGTTGGGTTTTTCACGACCTACTTTTTCATGTATTACGCCCAGATATTATTCGACGCATCCGAGTCCCATGAATAGATTCGTGTGACAGGTACCATCATGAGTGCAGCGGTGACCTCGCAAGTCGCCACTTTTGAAAATGATCTTCGATACCAGCACGGATAAGATATATTTGTAGCACCTCCAAATCTAGCTTATCCTTCGTAGACAGGAAAGAGGCTACCCGAATTCATTGACATGACATCAAAAAGGGTGTGATTCTAACCACGGGATATGATCATATAACCATTTACCCATGGTTGAATATCGAGTAATAAGTTGTACCAGGTAGAGGTCAGACGTACCCTGTGATAATCTTTATCAGTCAGCTTCTGCAGCCTGACTTGTCAAGAAGCGATTCATTAACGACCTTCGAACTTGTCGTCGTTCGCGCACTTTGAAGACCCACGTTGGATATATGACTGGTAGTACATGCAGATTCTTTTTTTTTTTGAAAATGGCGTTGAAATGAGGTCACATTTCAAGTTGCTTTCGATAATATGGCCGTACTACACAGGGTAGGGCATGGAAATTTCAAAAGGATGGTTCACCGACGGTGTAAGATGAAGTTCTGATTTGATTCATTTGAAAGGACTCACCTCGTGGTCCGTGGGAAAAGTTGAAAGATGATCTTTGGCTACGGAAGGTAATCGTCGACTCGCTCCCAAGAGCTCATTGATACATGTCTCAATCCGATAACCTACAGGCGCATCTGTCCAGGACGCTACATTTCCGAGCTCTCTCTATGGGCTGCCATAGTTTGTATGCTGTCCACTGTTCGGATCACGAAAGCCAAAGACTCGGAAGGCAAGTATATTCCAGTGATTCCGGAGCATACTACTGGTCTCGCTGTGTTAGCAGGAGATTAGGACTCTTGTAGCATGCCTTCAAGTTATTGATCTGATCCTGAGTTATGATGATACACAATGGACTACTAGCCCCTAAGAATTGAAATGTAGCTCGGTGAACAGCAAGGAGCTAATCTGTTGATTTTTGCAACGAGAGAAGCATAGTAAAGTTTATATGTATTATCTGCGGAACACATAATGGTATGGGGCCTTACCAACACGAAAAAAATCAACATGAAACTCCGTCGTTGTTCAAATCCCTCTACTTGTCTCTATATCTTTCAATGAGATGTTGCTCCTCTCACACATTCTGCGGAAAATTCCACCCTCCATTTGGAAGAGATTGGATGGTGTGTCAAATTCCTTCGAGAGAGTGAGTTAATAACAGCTGAAAAACGTTCAAACATCAACCTACTGCAACAAGGCCAGCATCGAGAACCAGAATCCGGTCGTACGAAATGATAGTTCGAAGTCGGTCTAAGGTATCATTAGTTTCCAGTATTGTACCGAGTACAAAAATGAAATAACGTACGAGCAATACAAAGTAGTGTGCGGTCCTGAAATTCCGTTTGGATTGTGTGTTGAATCTTGTTATCAGTATCGAGATCGACAGAGGCTCTAAAAAAATCAACACCACACGTCCAGGAGAAGAGATATAACTAACGTGGCCTCATCAAGCACAACGACTTTGCAGTCTTTCACTAGAGCACGAGCTAGACTGAGTAGAGATCTCTCCCCAACACTGAGGTTTGCTCCCTCGCTTTCGATGGTGCTGTCAAGGCTGTGGCGTCCGACGCCATCAATGGAACATGACTGTTTCGAAGTGATGCTAGAATCAAACAGACAAGACCGTTGCAGCGCATCCCACAGCTCCGCGTCACTGTGATGGGAAAGTGGATCCAGGTTCGAGCGCATGGTCCCTGGTAATCTTTAAGCGCTCCAAACAAGAGTATGTAGATTTGCGGCACTAACCGCTAAATAGAAGAGGCTATCGAGTTTGTACATTAGTCCTTCCTGTGTTAGCTTGTGCATGGAAACTTTACAAACATCTTGTGGGATAATGGAAATCTTGGAGCGGAGATCTTTAAGACCAATTGTAGATATATCGACACTGGAAGCGGTGAAAACCAATATATTTGTCACGAGGGACAAGCGACGTACCCATCAATGGTGATTGAACCGCCAGACAACTCGACAATTCGAAACAGTGCGAGCATCAACGAAGATTTTCCAGCACCAGTCCTGAAGGAACATCACCTTAGCACACTTGCGTAGATCCGACAAACTAGCTCACCGTCCCACAACGCCTATCTTTTCGCCTCCCATGACCTTGACTGAGATTCCCCTCAATACATTGGGAAGGCCTGGCCGATATGCCATTTTAACGTCGTTGAATTCGACCGCGCCATGTTCGGGCCATTGCGCTGAGGGCTTTCGTTCTTCAATCTCATGGGGAGCCTCTTGAGGCATCGTGTCGCTTGCGACGTACTGTACCACTGCGAGGTGTAAGCGAGATATCATCAAAATTAGTGGCTCACATCGTTCCACTGCATTCATGTAATTCTGAGGCAAACGACGATTGAATAGCCTGTATCAGAAGATAAGGAACGCCTCACCTCAACGTCTGCTGTTTGTCTGGTTAACTGGCTACATGTTTGTGACAGGATGGCTTTGATACAAGATTTATCATGTATACTTTAGTGGCGACATCAGGAGACTCACTGGTATACGTCAGTACCAACCCTATCTGGGCTGCGTTTATCCCGGAGACGTCCATCACCGCTAGAAGAGCAACCTAGCATTCGTTGAACGTGAGGTCACGGTTTTTACTATTTGATAGATGCCTACAAGGAAGATTAATATGCTTCCCATAACGTCCAACCTTATTGCAAGCCATCTGAGAGAAAATAATGAACCAACAAACGCCAAGATATGTATAAGGTAACCCACCTCTGGTTCGTAATAACGATGTATAGAGCTCTGTCCTCCAGATCAACGTAGTATCTATTGGCGGCAATGAACCGCTTCATTTCTCCGTAGCTTCGGATGGTAGGAAGTCCTGTCAAAGTCTCCGAAAAGTGGGAATACAGAAGAGAGCGAAGCATAGAGTCTAATGACCAATATCAGCAGCGTATTTCTAGACCAGAAGCACCACAACAAACCCAGGCGTTTAACCTCACGAGCACTGGCTCGATAGAACGCAGCGAAGTAGCTATAACCAAGAGCGATGAAGAACACAACAATGACTAGACAAGCATGAATCATATCCTTGCAAAATGATGTCTATTTACTGACCAAAGTATGGTTCAAGGATAGAAATGATGGCGATAGAGCTCATAAGGGTGGACAGAGTATAGACCACTGGTTCTCCATAGTCAGTGTCTGTAAGCAAAGTGTGCGGCTGACATACGCCATCTCATCGACTCTGGACCATGCATGAGTAACATTTCACCATGCGGTGACAAATTACTCACGTGGTAATTGATTGTCAATACCTGAGAAAAAGGTTTCAGCAAAGTATAGCAAAACACAAATCAGTGAGATGCTGACTATCGATATCTTTGCCAAAAATGCTCAAGATTCGGCCCACAGGCTACAGGAATACATTATGAATCTGTTTGGGCGCTTCCATACACAACCACTCACTGTAGTGTCGAAGAAGGACATTGGTGCATGAAAGACATTACGTACGGACCTGTGGTGCAGGTTTTGAGATACATAAGAAGAAATTATATCCATTCCGATACAACTGCATTGAATGAGCGTGCCGTCATCTGCGGTGGGAACCAACTTACGGGAAGAATGTGAAGATTGCTTGAGCAACCCCTAGACACCCATACAGCGTTTGATAGAACGAGTTTGGTCGTTCGAATTTACTGCGCCAGTATTTTAGAGAGGGACCAAGTCGATAAAAAGACACTGACTTGCTCTCCCACCAAACTAGCACGTACGAATTCAAGATCAGGCTTCCCTGCATCGCAAGGACGAAGAAAAGTAGTAGAGGACCTGTTATTGAAGCGCGTCCCGCAACCAAATAGGTCCAGTATACTGTGAAACTACTTCAACCTCGGGAAACCCTTCAGATGAGCTTGATCGCACCTCCCCAGATCACAGAGCCTGTCGACCGCCTCTCTTTAACGATCAAGCGACCCTCGAGTATGCCATTGCCAGTAGCCTCTTTTCTGGCTTGTTCTGACTTCAACTTTACATCTTCGACGGTAATGCCTGTTTGCGGAGTGACTTCCTCTGCCTGGCCATCATCATCCTCATCCGACACATGACCACCGAACTCCAGGTCCAGACGCGCAAAGTCTCCACCGCGGGAGATTAATTCCTCGTAAGTCCCGCTCTCTGTAATGATGCCATTGTTTAGAGTATAAATGTAATCTACTTGCGAGAGGAAGTGGATCGCATGCGTGACTAGAATGACGGTAATGCCACGATTTCGCAGGGCACCCACGATGGCATCTTGGAATAACGATTTTCCGACGTGAGCATCCACTGAAGGCATTCGTCAGCATGATAGACATAAGATAAACCACATTGTTCACCTGCCGAGAGCGGGTCATCAAGGATGGCAACTTCAGGGTTAAAGTACAGAGCACGAGCAAGGTTGACCTGTGTGGAAAATCAAATTCGAGTCCTATCACGGAGAGATGCCATGAACTCACCCTCTGCTTTTGGCCACCGCTGAGATTGATCCCCTTTTCTCCAATCTAAAATAGAGTATAAACAGTGATATCAAGTTGGATTCATCCGCCGTACCTCAGTCAAATCCCCATCTGGGAGCAGTTGGAGATCAGGAAGTAGACAAGCGATCTCAACAACGCGCCAGTATCTGTCTTCTTCGAAACGTTGGCCAAAAGTGATATTATCACGCTGGGGTATAATATCAGATGTATTCGCTCTTCGAGAGCAACACTATGCCAACCAGCGTAGTATTCTGGATCCATGCGGTCTGCGGGCAATAACTAATGCGTCCGCCAAATGAGACATGCCCGGAGACCTTCCTCATCTCTCCTATTAGACCTTGCAATAAACTGGACTGTTCATGGATCAGTAGTCGTTTTAAGTATCTCATTCGAGAAGATTACCTTGCCACTTCCGACAGGCCCAACTATAGCGACGAGTTGGCCTCGTTGGATGGTCATGGTCACATTCTTTACCTTAAAGAGAGGGGCTTCCTTTCCAGGAGCGGGCTTTTCCATCTTCATGTCCTCCGTCATGCTCCTGTCCTTGCCCCCTTTGGTGAACTCCCGTCGCTGGGTGGGCCAGTCTTCAAGCTCAAAGCGTGACCAGAATCTTTCGCGAACGACTCCCACTCAAACGTCGCATCCTTCACCAGAAGCGCAGGTTCTTGGTCCTTGTCGATCACAAGTGTATCTCCAGAAATAAGCTCTGCGTGGAACACGTGCGTGAGCCGCTGAATTGCGCTAGATGCATCAGGGATAGCTGATAGAGCGCGAGGCAGAAAGAGCATCGGTTGCCTGAGAAGCTATTTGTCGATATATCATGTGCATGTTTATGTACGCTGCGGGACACGACCTCACCTGGAACAAACTCAACGAGCTGAATATGATGGCAACGTTGAAGTTGTGTGCCGTAAGGGTGTACGTGACGAAAGCTAGTGTAGCGGCAAGGACTGGGACCGAACAAGCGAGTGCCAAGCTGGGTGGATTGCATCAGTAGGCGTCGCCATGCTATCACCATCTGGACTTACTTCGCCGAATTCGCGTGAAGAATCCATCGAACACCACGCAGTTCCTTCTTTCGAAGCTCAGATATTTCTAAGCAGCGTTCGTGAGCATGCTGCTAATATTCCTTGACTGAGCATACTTACTTTGAAGGAATGGGATCTCGTATGAGAAGTACTTGACAACGCGTATGGCCCCTGTGCATCTCTTCAGCATCCTTGCACGTCCCAGAAGCCTCAAGTTTACGTACCGAGTACCTCTAGCAGGACCTTGGCTCGCTGATCAGTCCATTTCATCGACTCTAAGCGAATACGGTGCTGCAGTGCCATTGACTGCTGTTGAAGTGGAATCATGAGGGCGAATAGCGAGAAACCAGCAAGAGCAGATGGCCCAAGCTAGTTTTCACGCGCCGTTAGAACAGACCGAAGTCTTCGTAATACAACAAACCTGGGTCAAGAGAATGATCAAACAAACTATGATTTGAATAGGCGCGGTCCAGGCTTAACAATAGTAAGTTATCTCAAAATATGAATGTCACTAGCCCCATATACTGACACATGTGCTGGTAGCGAGATTAGTCAACGGCGCGCGCATACACTTCAATATGCGACTCACCAACCATTGAGCAGCTGCATCAATCCTGCTCACGTCTGTCGAAATATGGTTGACCAACGCGGCGTTGCTGAGTTTGACACGTGCTTTGCCTGTGAGGTTTACTCCACGCTCATAAATGCATGTTATCAGTGCGGCCCTAGCCAGTACGCCTGTCGACATTGAACGCCAATAGAACTTGGAATGCGTAAGCTGAGCCGAGCTTATCTTCAAGTCACAAAGTTTCACAAACAAACCTGGTGGTTGCAAATGCTGGCCGTCAAGGTAAGCGCAAAGAGCCCAATGGCCATGGCAATACCACGACCAATATTAGGCACAGGTTCTCCGGCAGTATTTGCAGCAGAACGCTCCTCCGCAAAAACGATGATTTGCTGTAGGGAAGAACAAATATCAGAGGTTACCACAACCAAACACAGGTTGCTGTTTACCCGAAGGACAACAGGACCCATGAGCTGTATCGTATCGCCAAAGACCTGAATCGTGTCATAAATCATTATCATAAAAGCAATTCAGGAGGAAGACCCATGCCTTGAATGCACCTCCTATCCAGAACATACTAAGAAATACATCGTTCAAGGCCCAAGTAAGACTGGCCTCTTTCCTCCCAGCGGATTCTCGCCAATGTTGCTGAAACGCTGCACGTTGCTCAGACCAATTCGTGCCTTGTTTCCTGGAAATTGCACTCAAGGCCCAGCCCGTACGCTTGAAAAGAGATGGTCTGAGGTCTCCACTCTCAAGACGTGCATTCCAGTCGGCTGCTGCCCTAATACGCCGCTGCCATGCAGCTTCAAGTTTGGCAGCAAGGACAGCCGACTCTCTGGATGTGTCTAGTTTGTATAAATCAGACGCTTGTAATGTACGTTGATATCCGAGAACCTAGATAGGTGCGTCAAAACAGTATAGGTTGAAATCGGGGTTCAAACAAACCATTATACCCGTTACCCAGGAGTACGTGAGCTGAGAAAAGATGGAGGCGTTGGCCAACGGCGTTAGCTGTACATAACTGAGTTGTTAGGAGGAAAAAAACCAGCATAGAGGGTTCGCGTACCGCTGCATCCTCCAGAGACGGGGGAGCTGGATATGGCGGGTCCTTAGGTAACCTGATAGCGGCTCGATGAAGGACATCGCTTGCAAACTAGCTTCGCTTACCACAACTGCCACCATTTTTGACGAAATTTGGTATATCCCTTGCCAGTATCAAGTTGGAGACGTAAAGGTTGGAGGAGATCAGTTGCGTTAACCTCCACGATATCTTCCTTTTTGCCCTGCAAAGATTCTTCTGATCGCTGAGAAGTCATACAGAAAGAAACTGGAACAGCAGATACTGGGTAGATGAATGACGGCTTATTAAGAAATGCTAGGAGAATGGTTCCGTATGATACATTACCCGAGATGTGCGTGGCCTGCAAAGGCGTCAATGAACCTCGCCGTCACCTGCCAGTTGTAAATTCTACTCGGTCATAGTAGATGCTTCGTATCAAGTACTCAGATCAAGCTAAACCTCGGCTCTACTGCGTAATTGAAGTTCTACGTTGCGATAGTCCCCATTAACATATCGCCGAAAAAAGTTTGTTATCATACGCGTACCGTGACGATGCCAGCAGGGCACAGAGTCGCAGACTGGTCTTGCAAAAATCTGTTATTTAAAGTCGAAAGAGGTTGTGTCATATTCCCCTTCATATTCTTTATTGATTCTGCCTAGATTTTGATTTGGGAACTTCTAAAGGTTTGCGCCGGGTTTGAAATTGTCCGCCCTCCCTTGCTGGCAGCCCCCGCTGGCCATGAACAATGAGTGGGATACGGTCTCTGTCATCATCTCTCTCCAGGTTTCTCAGCCTTTGATAAGCGGGTCCTTTATTCCACGTTTTCTTTGAGTCCACCCTTGACGTGGCGCCGATGGACAACATGTTGACGACGAAACCTTCTGGAGATGAACATCAATGGAATCAGTGAATGGTATGACGATAATTGTCCGTCATCTCTGTGACCGGCGATAATCAAGAAGGAACGATGTGTTTCCCCTGAGTTGTCGCCGGGCTTCAGAAAACTATACACGAGTTACACGACGCGACTTGAAGCTTGAAGCTCGAAGACTTGAAGTTGCCAGCGAAGTGAATTGCCTTTCATGGTTTGTTTGTTCGTATTGAAAACAAAAGCCAAGTTGCCAAACTCATCCACATGTTTAAATTTTCTTCCTCGGGCAGTTTTCATATATACGAACCGTTTCACCGTGGAACAGCCTACATACTCAAACGGCTCGTCGAGGCTTCAAGCAGGACTTATATGTAGCAGCTGAGCGCCGTACGCCTACCAATGTGAGCGCTCGCTTAGTACACAGGGTTCAGGATCAAAAAATGGACGCCTCCCTCAGCAGATTGTGACAGCTTATATTTGCGGGCCACGAAAAATATGGCAGGAGCTGTTGGGCATCCCACCCTCCTCGATGCCAAAGCTTAACACCGATGCCATGTCAAGTGATATCGTGTGCTGGGATGACACATCATCATTCGCCCAACATCAGCCAGCTTTATAAAAGTTCACCGGGAGCTGTTGAACAAACGTTCCATCCGCGAGCTTTTCATGTTAAGCTTTCGCAGTGCACGCATCCATGGAGTATCGTGATTTGTACTTTTGCAAAACGTGTCAGTTCGTCATAGATCTCCCCGGTGTCCCTCATGGGATGAAGAAACACGTGGAAACCTTTGTCAGGCCTTCGTGATCTGGTCTCTCATGCCACATGCTCGACTCATTATAGATTCAAAGTATGGATACGGAACTCTGCCAGAGGATTGCCATTTAGCGCCTTTTTGCAGGTTCTAACCTTGTTCGGGAAGTACTTTTTGAAATCGGAAAGGAACGACTTGTGCGTAGCTCGGATCTTTCTGTTGACATGTTGAGTGGACGCAGATCTACTGGTACTATAGTTACTGGACAGTTGCTGGACGATCACTCCCTAGGTATCGCAGCAAAGTTCCTGAACGAGGATTCTCAGCGGATTCGGATTCGCCGAAAATCATATACGAGTCTTAGGTAAAATAGGGTATAATCCAAGTTTACACGTCGAAATCCTGTCCCCGACTCCCCGTTATACATCTCAAGTCCGTTTCAACTTTGCACTCCTTCCTACTCACCATGGTACTCCACGTGCAATCTCGCGCTCTCTGGAATCGATGCAGTCTCCGAAGATACCGTCCCAGTGTTTAGGCACAAAATATCACTGCCCTACGTTGAATCAATTCGTCGAGACCGCACTGCTAAGTCTGCGATGTTACGTTCTACTTATTCTGATCGATGCATGATGTGGCTGCTACATGTGTCGTCCTGAGATGATAGTGATACCGAAAGGTTTGTAACATGTTCACCCAACACTGCTCAAATAACAAGAACCAAACATGATGCATCTGATGATGGGGCGTATTTTAACCTGAAAGGGATAGTCAACCGAACCATCGCTTCCAGTGTGCCATATGAGTATAAATTCTCAAAGAGAGGAAGGATAGCGGTGTCTTGTCAATACGCAGATTACAATTTTACCAGAACCTTCTTACAGCAGTACATGTACATGTGTTCTGTATATACAGCCTTTGTATTGATTCTGAAACGTGATCATGAAGAGGCGCAGTGCCACACAGCAAACAACAACACACAGCTTATGTTGAGCGAAACGGTACTTTATTAGCTTACACCGCGACTCAAGAGTCTTAGTCTTACATACCCTACCTCTCCTCCAAGCCATTCATTGCAAAGACATTAACTCAACGTTGAGATGTCCCTCCTAGAACGCTTAAACGTCCCAATAGATAACGGAACCGGAGCCCCTTCCATCGGCCCCGTTCGCACAAAATCAGGCAGTCGTTCATCTCCATACGTGCGTACAACTTTCTATAGTCTACACGTCAAAAGAATAATCTCTCTCGCACACATCTTTTTTCCGTTCTTATCACGCCCACCCAACTCACTTCAATCATCGTCTGTCTCACAAAGACCCGCCCAAACCGCACCCCCAAAGGCGACCCAGACGCTCAATGGAGTCACGACCTCTACGAAGACCCAGAAAAACCCAGCCTATCATCAAGACTCACCCTGAGCGCCGCGCAGCCTCGCAAACCCGATTCGCGTCTCGCCCAGCGTGCGCTTAGGGATGCAGCAGGGGACAGCAAATCTTCAGGACAGGGCTTGAGCATCAAAGGTGCAAGTGCAGTACCGTTGGGGAATGTGGTGGAGATTAGGGGACTTGTTAAGGGTACGACTGCTGCTGATGTTGAGGTGCGCGTTTTTTGTGTTTTTGAGAAAGAGAAAGAGATTGAGGTTTCTTTTTGGTTGGTTTGATAGGCTATTTTCAAACGATGCGGTGCGATAGTTTCGTCTGAAACAGCATCCCCTAAGGCCTCTGAGAATGTCGTCGTCCGCATCACGTTCAAACTACCTGCACAGGCAGATGCGGCTGTGAATAAGTTCAACGGGCAGCCTGCAGACGGCAAAATTTTGCAAGTTAGCATTGTGGGGACGAAAGCGGTGGGGTTGTCGGGGAGGCTTGCGGGCGTGGATGTTGTGGATGATAGTGTGGATGTACTTATGGATGGTGGGGAGGAGGGGAGTTCATCGTGAGTGGTTTTAGTTTTGGGGTTTTATCTTTTAACTTTTATTTGCGTTGGTGCAGAAAAATGCGGTCAGATTCGATTATTGCCTCGGATCCGAGAGCAAGTGTTTTGGTTGCGCCGCCGGGTACAGATCCGAAGCTATATACCCAACACTCGCATTCAAATTCTCGTCCGGATGGGCAGAAGTGGCATCGTGGGGGAAGGGGTCGTGGACGAGGAGGTCGTGGAAGGAGAGGTGGTGGGGACCGAGGAGCAGGGATGGATGTTGACAATTGAGACGGGATTTTGTTGGCTATGGGTATGATATGGATGAAAGAGTCTGATGCTTGGCCAGCCTGCATCATCTTAGGTTGCAAATTATCTTAGCATTATGTATTTTCCCTTGTGCTGATTACACCTCATCTCAATGTATTTCACGCAAGATTCAAAGTACAGGCAAGTATGTTGTGCTTGGAATGGGCATGAGATAGCGTGAACTCGGGCATAATAAGTGGTAGTGAAGAAAGTAGATCGTGATAGCCAACCAAACAACAGCGAGCGCCTTGTACGTTACTTGCACAGGCTTTACCCCAAGTATCCGGAAAGGTATTCGTCATCAAGTTTCCACCTGTAATCATTCGCTCTCAGAGATAAGAGCGACGATCATCCTAGAGTCTCGTCAGTTACCGTGGGAGACTTGTGAAAGGACTACGCACCGGTAGAGATAGTAAAAGAATGAAAGAAGGTAAAAGCCTAGTTTCATAAAGCTCTCTTTCTTATGACCGCTAAGAGTTCTGAAGATCTCTGTGGCATCATACATGTGGTTCTTGTTACGTATCCTGTGGGACGCGTCAGCTCCAACTACACCAAAAGCGCCCAAGACGTACTTGTTGACGTTATACAAAACTAGAGGGAGGTTGAGGAGGAATGCAAACCATTGACCGGAGAGGAGGAAGAGGATTGTTAGAAATGCGTGTGCAATGTTTTCTGGTAGAACGAACTGGGTGTGTGTCAGTGTGGGTGTATTGCAGGTAGGGATGGAGAAGTACTTGGTTGAGCTTGTTGCAAAGATCTATGGGATTGATATAATCGCATTCAAGGTCTGAGAACATGATTATCTGGGAAGCGAAAGTGAGTGGGGGAGTGAGTGGAGATAGAAAAGAAGACTGACGAAGAAAACCATCGTGAAGAGTAAACCAGCTGCCATTAGTACAGAGAACAAGAACAACCAGCCTACAGCAAGCCATCAGGCAAGAGACTCGCGTCAGAAAGACAACGCACCAGCGCCACCCATTTTGTTAGAAAAAGTTGAAGAGAAGCAATGAAAATTAGAATTTGTTGACTGAGCAGCTACGACTTTAAAATTGTTAGTAGAACCCACACACAGTGAATTCACAAGTAAAATACCTTGATGAAGTCGAACACCAGGAAGAATAACCCTCAACAATGTCACACACGGTGACAAGTCACACGTCAAGAGGCCATGGGAGAATAACATCGGCTCAGTTGAATTCAGACTAGGAAATGTGCCTGGTGGACACTCAAGCTCAAGCTGCAGTAGATCATACATAATGGTACAACTTTCAACCATCTTCCTCGCAGTGCTATCCCCTAGTCACTGGGTATGTTTGGCTCCCAAACGACAACGACATTTTGACTCTATATCCATTCAGCCAGTCGAGATATAGACGATTATCCTTCTGGACGAGCTTGTTGAGGTGGTTTATTACAGCGGATGGAACGAGGCAACATTGATGTCTTCTTCAGAAACTGACCCCAAGTAGTTTTGCCCCACTCCCATCCGAGAAACAGCGCGGAAAGCAGTCTGCCATGCAGGCGGAGAAAGCAAGACAGCAAGCGTGTGGATTCATAGAAGCTGTGGGCTCAAAGATTAGCTTGTGCGTCTCTGCTTACAGAGAAATATCCACTGGCGTTGATAGCAAAAGATATATGGTTCTCTGTGTGCAGCCATATTTACACTACTCGTCCCTTCGTGTTCTCATACCCCGCCTTCTGTCCCTTCATCATGGGTTCCCACTTTGTGCGACATTTTGCGGTATTCGCACATGGAACCGCCAGCTTGCATCTGATTTTGCGAAGTAGGTCACAGCGCATCCTACTTTTGCAAAGTTGTCGAGGTCACTCGATGACACTGTACAACCGCTCGACAATTGTTCACGGCACATCCAGATCTACGGTGAGTATCCCATTATCTTTCACTAAGCAAGTTCACAGAGAACTGGCTCTGAAACCACAGGACTTCTCGACCTCTCGCCTCCTCTCCAAAGAAAGTAGATGCCATCTCGATTTCTCAATGCCTGATCGCCCCAAACTTCGCCTCTGCCGCCACAAAAGTCATGATCTCACTCCAAATAGTTGAACATCCGATCGAGGCTTCACGCATCGTTTCATCAACCATACTGCACCAGTTCGAAAGCATAAATACAACTCACTGCCACACTAGAAGCATACAAAGAAGCTCTATCGTGTCGGTGAGTCATCTAGTCAATTCCAGGACACAAACCACTAATACTCACGCAAAATCCTCCTTCGCATGCTGAGCATGTCCTATCGCGTGCGCAAAAGAAAGGACATGTCGCACTAGCAGCATCACTGACAGCGTCACTGGCAGATATCGATGTTGTCAAAGCGGCAACAACAACGGCGAGGACAAAAGTAAAGCGCATTGTTTGAGGATGGATATGAGATCAAATAAGTTTGAAGGGACAGTAGGCAGGCGCTTTGCTTTTATATGCTGAATATTGGGTGACTTCCCGCAGCATTTAAAGTCGTCGTTCTAAATGTAAATCTGTGTCTCAAGTCCTCATGCCAACGTGCCCCCGTCAAATGTCAGTGTTTTGCAAGTCCGCATATCAGAAACGCCCAATTTTAAAGTAATCCCTAGAAAGTGGTAGCCCCCTCAAATAGTGGTCAAACCATGTTCTAAGCATCTAAACGGGCCTTTCGAACTCCGTGAGTATATTTTAACCGTCGCTTGCATGCCCTGCAAGCCTCAACATTAGAATCTAGATACAACTTGTCTACGGTTTGGAAAGCATTTCTAAACTGCGTCGAGGTGCGAGACGATGCTCCGACTCTTGAGGTTTGAATGAAATATAGGATTCAAAAGTCGCCCACTATCCTTGATGGTGATGTAGGAAGGATCTAATAACCAGCTAAAATCCTCTTTTGAAGCTGAATATTATTCTTGATAGTGATCCCATGCATCTCATGACATCCCCTTTCGAGCAGATGCAATTAACAGCAGATCGGCACCTCCTACCTTGTGAAGCAAAGGTCTATTAGCGCGCGAAAACAACATATAACCTTGCGAAGCAAAGTTAATGCCAGCATATTAAATTTGCTACCAAAACCTTATCAAGCCTATCGTCAATTGTAGCGTGGAACAAAATATCACCTTGCGAAGTGATCCATCTTACACGTCATTTACATGTCGTAGCACCATTTTGTGAATTCACTTGGCAACAAAAATAATCGACATCATATCTGCTCGTGATGAACGAGCTAGGAAGATGGTGCTACGCAACTCTTCTTGTGCCCCTTCCAGTCCTCGCGTTGACAACCCTGTGAACAATACCGCACAACCTTGCACCGACTACAAATCAACAACGACGCAGAACCACCACTTTCCTTTCCACAAGCAGCGCACACATTACGCACCACTGCTGCCAGCGCAGGCGTTGATGCAGTACTTGAAGCGACGTTATCTTCCAGACTACCGACCTTTTCAAGGTACGACAGCGCGAACAGTGGACTGATCGCTGCCCTTGTCACATACGGTGCAAGCGGTCGAAGCATCGGGTATTTCTTCACAAATGATTCTGTCCCCATCCCGGCACCGCACGAGCAAATAGGACTCTCGTCTGGCTCCAACGTCAGAGGGATAACGCCTTGTACGCGGTACTCGCAGTTGGTCTTGTGTTCCCAGGTACGACACCGCTCCGTCGCAGCCACGAGGAGGTGCTGCCATGCCTTCCTCTCCTCAATACCCATCTCAAGCATCTTCATATTGCTAGGCCTCAAATGACTAGAAACCTTGCTGAAAGCCTCGACCTTCTCAAACGAGGGAGAAGACGGCATCACCCATGCATCAGCGACCATGGAGTGCGAGCCAACGTCCAAGCGGAGATTTGTGATATAGAACATGACAAAGATTTCCTCTTCATCTTTCACTCGCAAGGCGTAGCATAGAGCAGGTTTATCTTCTGCGAGACCGCTCGCCTGCCTAAGGATGCAATGGAGTGAACGCTTGACATCAAGCAGTGTTGACCCTGTATTCAATTCATGGGGCATGCGTTTTTCACGATCAGACGTCATGAAGAAGAGCTGAGGGTTGACCCAGTCAAGAGCTCTCTTATTAGCAATGCTGAAGGGTGTGCAATGGTCCAGGTTGACGCGGTGCATGTTCCAGAGAGCAAGATCGCCTCCGTGCGGAATAACAGGGAATATGTCCGAGTCGGTGTCTCCAAGAGTAAGTCTCAGGGGCAAGATGATCTGCGCCGAGTCCGACATGAGTTTTTAGAAAGATAGAGAGACAGAAAACGTACTTCGATGTATAGCGACTTTCGCGCAATGCGAAGCTTGGATTTCTTGGCATCAATAGGAAGCGGGAAAGGGAATTGCAAAGACTTTTTTCCAAGAACGATGGCGATTGAATGCATAGAAACTTGGTTCACAACGGGAGTACCACCGCTGGTCAGGGAAGCTTTCATGTCCGGTTCGACGATATCCACACGAGTGGTGAATGTCAAAGGTGTCTTGCATTCTTTGTCTAAGGTGACGAATGTGCATGCACCAGACGTCTTCATAGGACGGCCGCCGATTTGCACATTCTTCTCCTTGGGACTCTCTGGGCCAGCATTAGGATGCTGTCTTAGGATATGCACGAGTTGCTCATCTCCCAGGTCTGCGCGGAATATGGATAGGTCAAGCCCCCGCTTCATGGCGAACGCGCAAGTTGCTGGGGTGGTGAAAAGAGATAACACAACCGATAAACGACGCTCATTCACCAGCACAATAGTTGGCACCCAGAACCACACCACTAGAGGAGAAGTTCCATAACGTCTAGTGGTGTCTTCTCTAATGACTGCAGTCTTGCCATCACCATGGCCGCTGGTCGTAATGGTACCAAAAACTGTGCTGATGGCAGAGAACGCGTTTGATGTTGCTGTGCCCCTCAGGTCGCACTGCAACAAAGGTGTTCCGGCCTCGTCAAGATCGGGCAAGAGCGGCTGGAGGCGATCCCGAGGAACAACGAGGACGACACAGAGAGTTTTTGGAAGCACCTTCCAATTGCGAAAGACAAAGGGCCTTTCGACGCGATGCACTTCTGGTAGAGACAGAGACAGCCAATCCACATCGAAAACACCAAGAAGGTGCAGCTGGCAGCAGAGTTCTTGGTAAAAGTTCATTCCAGTTATGAGGATCCTGTCATTCCGAATCTTGTCATGAAGCATGTTCATGGTCGAATCCCAGTCTGTGATCACCCTCCTCTTGACAACACTCAAAATCTCCACAAACGAACGACGATGGTAATGTATGATCCCAGACAGCGACTGCTTGGCCATGGCCAACCTTCGTCTCACGTTCTCATGAGAAAACATGTTGAGATATATATTGAAGAAAACGCCTGCAAGCTGCTCCGCAGGGATATCGATGGGGCAGTCAAGATCAGTCAGGAGTTTCTCAGCACCGCCGATTAGTTTCCATGCAAGGCGCTCGTGATTCTGGGTTGTCTTTTGTGATACACGCATGATGTGCTCATGCATGTTTGACCGATTCGTGAACTGCAAAACGAAGCACGCGGGAATCAAGCCGAGGAGCAGACCCATAGTTGCGATATCTCCACAAAGTTGTTCGGCCAACGTGTCCTCTGGGCTATCTGAAGCAAGACCTTCCGTGTACAACGTAGCGGATAGAGTGCGCTGAAGAATAGGAGAAGTAACAGCGATAAGATTCAGCACGCCGACGTGATCAAGAAGGTTGGAAGTATCGATGACGTTGAATGTGGTCGGCGCGGGTGACTGCATACTAGTTCCGTAGGCGCTAGGGTCAAAGGTGATGCACGGGATCTTCCAAGGAGCAACGGTGAATGGTGTGGACGTCGATTTTGCGGTGCGGGAGTAGCAAAGAGCTTGACAAAAGCTCAGAGCGTCTCCCACAAAGCAACGTATGATGAGCGGGCTCGGAGAAGATGGATTTTGACTGCCCAAGACCTTGGACACCGAAGCGCACCACCTGGAAAATTGCCTCTTGCAGACGTCTACTATGTCTTTCAGAGTACATTTGTCTGGGTGGCGAGTGCTTCCGACAGCTGGCGCAAGCGCTTCTGCCAAATGAAAGCAGCAGAGAGGATCTGTTCCATAGTGTACACCAAATTTGTCACCGACCATGGAGAATGCTAAGGTTGGATTTGGATGTGACATCTCTGAGGGTCTCTTAGGGACGGCAGAGCATATGCCTGTATCCCAGTAAATGTTGTAGTGATCACCCGCCATCTTGAACGCATACATCGACAGTGGCCCAGCTGCCCGACTTGCTGTAACCACATGTTCGAGCTTCGCCCTGGAAGCCTTGACGTCAGCAGCATATGCGGATTCAAATGCTTTTGCCTCGCTAGGAGAGCAAGTTGTCGTCTTGACGTGAAGCTCCCAAAGGCGCCGCAACTCGGCGAGAGTATCTCCAGTACACATACGAAGGAAATAACCGTAAGGACCGTTGTTCCAGCTATCTAGATCGCTGGATAGCTCGACCAACTTCCTGCACTGTGATATGAGCAGGTCATGGGAGGCTTTGTCGAGGAAAAAGTGGAAAAAAATGTTCCAGATTTGTGGCGCTCTTTCCGCAGAACCTTTGTCGGCAAGAAGAGTGAATAAGATAACATTACGGGCTGTTTGATTCATTCATTCAGGAAGATGCATCGAGTGCTAGATTTGGGCTCACCAATGACTGCACTCTCAAGATCGCAGCAAGTAAAGTCCGATTTTCGTGACGCTGAGCAGGGGCATTAGTGCGCCACTCTATGGTATTAAGATGCTCCTAGTAGGAACGTGCCGATTCACCTTGCAAGCCAGTGCTGTTTGTATATACGGTATAAAGGATATGCCTCGGGTCGCCACACCCAAGAAGTAGTACGTCTGCTTTTTCAGTTGGACAAAGATCCTGTGTGAGGCAAACTGCAGATGTATTGCCAATAGGATAGAAGAACGTTTTTCCTCTCCATAGGACAGGGTGCGCCATGATCCTGGTATTGATTTCGGGCTGGCACCAACGGACGCGATGGCAGTCAAATTTTGAAGGAGTAGGTCGCAGGGAAGGACTTGAGGGCACGAGGAACAAATTAAATTGTCCGAAAGCTCTATAGAAGGTCCGTGATCCTCATGGATTATGGAAATGGTTCTAGATTCGCTCGCTCAGCCGCACACGACGGACGATTCCCTGATTGATTGAGTAATTCTCAGTGGGGCGGCTCCATTTTATACGTACGTTACTGCAGCATGGCTGGACTTTTACGTACCCAATATACTTTGAGTTATGAATTCAAGTTGCCCTGCGCGAAGTTTGAATTATTCAAACTCTGCAAGTACGTCGACTCACAAATCAGTGATGGAGTACCGAGTCCAACCATCATAAAAGATTTACTGTACATGACTCAAGCGTCTCTTCAAATATCAATACAGTAAGAGTCTGTCTCGTCCCCCGACAAAAAACAAGCTCAGGCTTATGACGTCCAATATTGGGTCAATGCCCAAAGCCATATAATCTGATGCGAAAAAACAGAAGATCAATAGAGATACCTGAAGCCCTTCCTTCTTTTCACAGCGTCCTCGAATGTAATCCCTTCCAATCTAGCAGCTTCTTCAATACGTTCGCGGCCAGGACCTTCCATTAATCTCTTCTCCATATCCATGTTCTTATTCTCCTTGATTAATATCCACCGCATTACTATCGATAGGTGAGTACTTCGGAACGGTCAAGTTGTAATTTTGCTCACGGAAGCCCAGGGCTGAGGACAAAAGCAGACTGCACAATGCTATAATCATGGATTGATGGTATTGAGGACCCCACGAAGCACTCCAGACATACGAGCCAATCCTACGATCTTGTAAGCAATCCGACATTAACATTGATCATAGAGGCCCCACAAGTTACCAAGGTTTCCAAACCCATTGACAAGACCTATGGCTGCGGCGCGTTTTGCGGGTGGACGAGGAATGGCGTTTGAAACCCAGGTCAATGTCAACGCAAATCCTTTGGAAAACGTGTCAAGCTTGCATTCAGAGTTCTCATAAGAGCTTACCACAATATCCAGAGGTCATGAGGAACAAGGAAAAGTATCGCCCGCCCGTAGCCATGGTGCATAGAGAGATGATGTATCCGACGATGACCACCCACCACCAGCCGGCAATATGGAAGAATCGCTCTCCAGACCTATCTATTCATTCTGTCAAAATGACTGATGCACTATCAGGAAATAGACGTACCTGCATGCCATGCGCTGAGCACGCAGCAGACTGACGTGAATATCCATGGAGGACTAGCGATCAGACGACAGTGAGCCATAGCTGTGAATGTAACAATGGGATATCATGCTTACGCCGCCATCAAAAGTGTGATAGTAGTGTTAAAACCAAGCGTGGCAGTCAAGCTGTCTCGCTCTATGTTAGCGCAAAGTTGCAAGACTATCCACATACTTACGTGGGGAAAAAGTTAGTGAAACTCAGGCCTAGAAGTTGCATGCAGGTCATGAACATGAAAATGATGGTCTTTGGATCCTTGATGGCCAGCCAAAAGCCATCGTAAATGCTATGACGTTCCGAACGATACGCCAAATTAATAAAAGTGATACGGAGTAGCACCTTGTCAGTAATAGGAAAGGATGGAACTTAAGCTGGACTTACGTGACGTCGTCGGAATCCTTGTCAGCCTCCCCTGCATCTTCTGCGAGACGAACTTGACTCAAGCGGCGTTCCGCTGCGTTAAGCCATCGGGTGTTATGGGGCTATGGCATGTCATGTCAGACCCGTCGAAACTTGTTCTAAAAATATTATGCTTACAAAATCAGGAAGAAGCCACCTAGACAAAAACCGTGGCCGTCAACGTTGAGTTAGAATAGAAAGTTTCACAAACGCACATGGTCAAGAAACCAAAGGACATAGTGATAGCGCCCTACGCCGATAAAGGGATTGATCAACATAGAAGGCCCGGGAGTAGTGCAACATATACCTCTATGTAGAACAACCTGCGAGAAACTCCAGTTAGGGTACCGCTCCTGAGAATAGGTATTTTGACTTACCATCTCCAGGCCGCAAGTCCCAGTACGCCTTGCATTCTTGCGAGAATTCCAGCTGCAATGAACTAGAAAGGATCATTATCAGGCGTCATAGTCCACTATGGCGGCAGCAAGCTCACGCTTCCAAATGCATTCGAGATTAAAGAGCCACAATAGAACCAAGCTGATCGTGCGGCAAGCTCCTGAATGTGTTGCATGAGGGAAAGTTTATAATTCTAAAAACATGATGCTCACCTTCCTGGTATACCATCGCGAAAGCAGATACATGACACCAGGATAGAACGCAGCCTGCAGAAAGCCGCACTCGTTCAGCCCGCACATCATTATCAAAAAAGGAAGTTTTTACCTCAGGAATACCGATGCACACACGACAAGCCATGATGCCTGAGAAATTAGTCGTGACCTGTGCGGCGGTTAGCAAGCACGAGTTGCAGTTGTGACTTCCCAATAAAACTTACCCCAGTCAAAGCACTTGTAAGGCCCCATCCAACAACGCAAGCCCCAATATAAATTGATGGTCTGAGTCCCGTCTTCTTAGTTCGACCAGATCAAAATATTTTCAATCACGACCAACCGTGAAATATAGCCCAAAATCTGTTGACAGTCAAGATCAATCTTCCATTCATAAACAATAGCGCACAAACAAACCATGTTCGAGGGTATCTGGTTGCAGATGAGATTTTGTTAGAAAGATCGCACGAGTTTGTGCAGAAAATTTTGCTCACTTGTATCGGGCAATAAGTGGCATAAAGAATAGCTAGGATGGTTTCATACTGAACGGCTAGTAAATCGATTAGGCACGAATAATATGGTGGTCCACTTTCACTCACTCGTCAATCCAAGATCTTGCTCTAAACCTTGCAGCCGCGCAGTAGTAATAGCGACACGCTACGCGTAGTACATGTAAGCACGCCGAGGTTCATAAATGGATGTTTGCATACATCAATGTAGTTCAAGATGAATATGACCACAGCAGTGGTCATCAGCCGGCAGTCCAATTTGCGCACCAGCGCCCGTTCTCCCGCCTGCCTGGCGTTTGCAGTCAACAGCCTAAAGTCGTCATCATCATTTGACACTGCGACTACATTTTCTGTAAAGTTTTGAGATTTCTTCTCTTCCTGGATGGACATGTGGGGAAATGAAGCGATACACCACCTTGACACAGTAATCTAACCACTCAAACAGATGCCTTTTATACCAGTGATCAGGGATCGCAATGCCTATAATGAACTCGATTACCCCACTCAGTCCAGAAGTAGAAGGCGACCAGAATACCATCACCTACCAGGGGGGAAATATATTTTGGTGAACGCTGAATGCGTCCTGTAGTTAGGTCCTACTAGGGCCCTCGCGCAATGGCCTTCACCAGCGCCTCCAGTTGCGCACCACTTCTCTTCACTGGGATCCTAGACTGCGAAGAGCGTCCGCCTAGTGCGTTTGCCTTTGGGGTCAACTGTGGGTACTTTAGTCTTTGAATTTTCCGCCAACGCACAGGCTGTCATACACTAAAAAAGTAGCCCATCAGCTGACACCACTGAAGTAGAGCATCACGCGAAAGCGCGCAGCACATAAATGCAGCGTACCGACCCAAGAAAAGAATATGGTTCCCCGACGGGTTTGCATATTTAGAACAAGAGGGACAGGTTAGGATTTGAAATTTTGAACGTAACACGTGCAATCCCCGACTCCCAAAGGGCAGCTGCGCCATGGGAAGGGGAGGATGACAAACGGTCCAAACGGTCTGACCGTTTTTGCAACTCCGCCAGACCGTTTGGACCTTTTGCTAAGCACGTGACTTTTGTCGTCACGTGACATGTTGGAGTTTTTGCCCCAAGACGAAGGTATTCAGCTCAAGGACGAGACTGGGACGCGCGGATTCGAGCAATAGACAGTACCATTCGTAGCGCGAAGACCTTGCGATGATTGTGATTGAACAAAGTAAACTATTAGGTGCATAAACGATCTGTAAGAAGACAAAGGCATGAAATGAATTAAAATGCAAACACCAAATCTCGAACGAAACTATGGCTGCTGCAGGAAATTGATCCTCAACCACTGCTTGTCGTCGCAGACAATGATGCAATCACGAGGGGTTGATGGGTCCATGATGAAGTCTGTAAACAGCCGGAAAAGCACTGCACCATCCTCGTGGATCTCAGTGCATGTAGGCATATGCACGGGTTTTGAAAACCCGTGCGGGTGGTGGGTGCGGGTACCCCTCGGGTACGGGTGGGGGTCCGCATTTTGGGTACCCGGACCCTCACCCACACCCACGCTCGGGTTTGACCGGTACATTACATAATCAAGAACTACAGCGGTACTTACACTTGTGCTAATGCTGACATCTGCCTACTGATTATAGCGTGCTATGCCCCTCCATCTTCTTCAACACAACACCTACCTTCAAGCTCGAGCCATGCTGACCAAAGTCGTCACCCACCGTTCGCAGTATGTGAGTGTGCCGATTCTCATTCGAGCAAGAGCCATGCTGATCCAAGCTGTTGCCCACCATTTGCAGACTGTGAATCCGTCGATCCTCGTTTGGGCAAGAGCCATGCTGATCTGAGTCGTTGCCCACCGTTCGCAGGAGTTGAGTCTGTCGATCCTCATTTGGGCAAGAGCCATGCTGACCCAAGTTGTTGCCCGCCGTTCGCAGTTGGTGAGTCCGTCGATCCTTGTTCGAGCAAGAGCCATGCTGATCCGAGTTGTTGCCCACCGTTCGCAGGAGTTGAGTCCGTCGATCCGCGTTCGGGCAAGAGCCATGCTGACCCGAGTCATTGCCCACCGTTCACAGGAGGTGAGTCTGTCGATCCACGTTTGGGCAAGAGCCATGCTGATCCGAGTCGTCGCCCACCGTTCGCAGTTCGCGAGTCTGTCGATCCTCATCCGAGCTTGAGCCACGCTGATTTAAGTCGCTGCCCGCCGTTCGCAGGAGGTGGGTGTCTCATTTTTATATTTACTAACTTCATTTTTATATGTATTACCCGCGGGTAAACCCTGCACGGGTACGGGTAAGGGTATGGGCTTGCCATACCCCCCAAAAACCTGTACCCTTTGTGGGGGTGCGGGTGCGGGTAAGGTCTCCGACACCCCGGGGTTTACCCGTGCAGATCCCTAAGTGCATGAGACAAGCAGCTTTGCGTGTAGGTTTCTTAGATGAGGTCACACGGCTGGAGCAAGAGCTAGAACAATTGTATAATCTCAGTATCCAGGAGGAAGATTCCAGGTGCTATAAGTACCTAGAACAATTGTATACTAAGTCTTTGTTAGCGGTTGATACATTATATGAAGCTATTGGTGCTTACATCTCAGTATCTGGGAGGAAGACTGAGATGCCTAATTCTATGAGAGACTGTTTTTATGTGCGGGTAGAGCAGGAATGAATGAAAATTAATCTAAGAGGATGAGCAAACATCCGAAAACAATGTGCTCATACCTAATATGACGTCCCCCTTGAGTGCATTCCAGCTTCATCATGCCTCGAAGCCTCTCCAGGCATGGATGTGGTGGCGGTTTGGTTAAGGTGTCAGCGACATTATCGTTGGTAGGGCAATAGATGAGAGTAAAGGTGCTGTGCTGAATGTGGAACCTGACAAAATGGTATCGTAGATTGATGTGTTTTGTACGGGAGTGGAACTTATTGTTCGTGGCAAGGGCTATAGCGGCTTGATTGTTGCAGTACAATGGCATAGGAATGGACGGGGACTGGTAGAGTTCTTCGAGGAGTAGCTGAAGGTACATTATCTTGCAACCTACAGTGGTCAGCGCGATGTACTCCGCCTTGGCTGTGGACAATGCGATTATCAGTTGCTTGTGTGCACTCCACACTACCGGGCCACCGTCTAGCATGATGATGTAGCCTGTCATCCAGTGCCTGTGGGCCTGCGAGGCCCAGTCCACATCTGCATAAGCTTCCAGACCGGTGTCTGAACCACCTAGAGTAATCCCATAGTCAGATGTACCTTTCAGGTACTTGAGGACTCTCTTGACCACATCCCAATGGATAGTGCTGGGATTGCACATGAACTGCGATAGGATGGCAACAGCAAAGCCTATGTCTGGGCATGTGCTTGTAGCTGCGTACATCAGCGAGCCAATAGCTTGCTGATAGGGCACATTTTGCATGGCCTCCATCTGAGCATGGGTTGAAGGTGAGTTTGCATCAGATAGGACTATACCTGTCTCCATGGGGGTTGAGGCATGCTTGGCATCCTCAAGGTGGAAACATTCAATGATAGTGTCAATGTAGGCCTTCTGCGACAGCCTAATGGTGTGAGTGCGGCAGTCACGTTCGACCTTGAGGCCCAGCAACCAGTTGAGCTCGCCTTCAGTCCGAGATGTCGAAGTACTGCGTGAGTTGTTGCTTAAACTTAGCAATATGATGGAGGTGCCGGGACGTTACAGCCATGTCATCGACAGATACTGTCATGACAGTATGTTCCTTGTCGATGGAGCGGTAGAAGACGGCTTGGTTGATCTGGGAGCAGGTAAAGTCCATTCTCGCAAAAACAGACGCTAACTCTTCAGACCACTCATACCCGGCTTGCTTCAGACCTGGCAGACTCCTTCTCAACTTCAACACCTTTCCCTCATCACCTTTCTTCAAGTATCCAGGTGGTGGGCGCATGTAAATGTCCTCTTTGAGTTCAGCATATAGGTACACACTCTTAATATCCACTTGATGGATTTCCCAGCCAAGTTTGGTGGCCATAGATAGAACAGCCCGAATCATGGTCATATTGAAGGTGGGTGCAAATGTGTCAAAATAGTCGACGTCAAACTTCTGATGTTGGCTGTTTGCAACCAGCTGAGTATGGAGCTTCAGCTTCTCACTGTTCGGACCTCTCTTTGTGGCCAAAACATAATGGCATGGGATCAAATTCACATGGTCAGGTGCATTGATGATCTCCCATGTTCCAAGCTTCTCCAGCTGACCCAATTCATAGTCTATCGCCTCCTGCCACTCACTTGCATCTGGCCCACTCAAGGCCTGTTGGAGGGTGGGCTCTGCCTCAGCGGCTGCCATCACGTACCAGGTAAGTGGTCCGTCTGTTCCATCGTCTGGGAGTTCTGATGCCACAAGATGTGGCTGCATGGCCAGTACTGCTAGCTCTCCTTCATGGAGAGCTGCATAGTACTCTGGCGGGGTCTCATCCTTGTTGCTTGCGGGGCAGGTGGTGTTTCAGAGCTGGTTGGGGTGTCCTTTGGGGCGTGGAGGGAGGTTTAATGCTGGTGAGTCGTCTGTCCGCTGGGGATGGTGACTGGACCCTAACATTTGATATGTTTGATGGCCTTGTGGCCATAGACTCCCCCTTGGCCTGCACATTAGCTGCGACCACAACACTGGTAGGTGGGAACATCATGTTTCTCTCCACTGACACCTTACACTTCCCTGCCCAATAGACTTGATACACCTTGCTTTTGGCGTCGACACCCACAAACATGGCCTCTTCCGCCCGGGGCTCTAGTTTTCTGGCATCCGCCACATGGACCAGACAAGGGGTCCCAAACTCCCTGGCTAGGGACAAGTCCAGCTTGGTGCCATGCACCAAGCCATGCAGTGTTTCATTGGGGATCACCCTTAAAGGTAGGCGGTTCTTTAGCCATGTTGTGTAGCCCACTGCCTCGGCCCACAGGTACTTGGGCATGTTATGGCCTAGGAGCATGGCCCGTGTGAGGGACACTAGAGTCCTGTTGAGGCGCTCTGCCATGCCATTCTGTTGTGGCGAGTCGTGAATGGTAAGCTCACATTGTAAAGAGTTGATTCTGTGTAGGTGCTACAAATAGTGTTGCCTTAGAATCTCAAAGTGCAAGTGTGATGCTTGTCCCAAAGAGACTGCCTGTAGAACTACCTCTTGATATAAAATGCAAGGGATGTCTTGTTAAGATCAAAGGTGAGAACAGGAATGATACCTAAAACACATTCTGTGTTTCTGAAGGTGCGTCCGAAGTGTCCAAAGGTGGTCTGACATCGAGAAATGAAGGCCCGAGGTTGCACAAAGCGTCCGGAGAACGTCCAGCAAACAGCGAATGTTCCGAGAGAGAAATATGGCAGGTTTGTCAAAGTGTGTTGAAGTGTAAGACTAGCAGAAGTACTGGAGTACTACTAGCAAGGCCTATCAGAAGAACTAAGAGACAGCAAGACACGAAAATGGCAGTGGTCAGGCCAAACAATTGTTCTGAATGAACAAAAAGATCAATTGTGTGAAGTATGACTATCCAAAGTGATTCTACTAACTAAGACTTGTAGCAAGGAAAGTGAAGTGAAGTGCGAGTATCTAGCAAGCCAGATTATATCCTACAGTGTGAAAGTCCGGAATCTGCGTAGGCGAAACCAGTAGCAAGATAAGCCATCCGAAATGTAATAAGACTCATGGTGAGCTGCTACAGAGATATGCATGTAATAGTGCATGAGGCACACAGCTATATGTATTAATCAGGCTTTCTGACATATGTGCCCCTAAGACATAATCAATAACAGATAATCAAAGTGAAAAACGCACCAGCGAAGTCGGACAGACATGGACAGGACATGGTATGGAGGATCGGAAGTGTATACAGGCCTTGGAAGGGGACGGACGACCTTCAGACGACTTGGACGAGTGCATGGAACTCTCGGAAGGGGAAAGGAGTGTTGAGGAGTATCATGTGTGGTACCTGTGAGATTGGCAGGATACACGACCAACACCAGTCTGAGTGCTACAATGTTCTATGCCCTCCTCTCGCAGATACTTATTGAATTCTGCAGAGAGGTACTCACCTCCTCAGTCCAAACGGACCTTCTGGACCTTTATGTCTGGGTGCTGCCTCATGAGGTGAGCCATATAGTCTTTAAATGCCTCTAACGCCTCACTTTTCACTTTTAGGAACTGGACCTTGGTTTCACGGGTGTAATCATTTATTGTAGGAATACAACACAGAGTGGGGCTATAAAAAGATGGTGTTAAGACCATGCACAAAGGGTAGGACTGGATCCGAGGGGCTTGGCTTCAGCTCGTGCGCTGCGCCCCTTACCCAAGTGTGTGCCCTTAATTTCAGAATGATGTCTGAAGAAAGTCCAAGGACATCTGAAGCGCGGGAAAGTTTGGAAGGACTTTCTGGATGAGTGCAAGTAACTTCCAGACGAGTGCGGGAAAGTTCTGGAGGAATTTCCGGAAATTAAGATGAGGTTTTGTCCTGATATGGATATTGACTAAGTCGGTAGACTAGAACTGATATGAGGACTTAGAGTGAGATCTAGTGTGAGGACTAATATGATATTCAGACTGAGGAACTACAGGACATATACAAGAGTTTATATACTAAGGAAATAACGGAAAGATCAGTAAGCAAGAGTCCGAGGCTATGTATGAAGCATAGGTTAATGGATCAGTAAGCATACCAGTAGTAAGTATAATCGAGATACCGAGGACAAGGAATACCGAATAGAGGAATAGGCTGTGTTAACGTTATATGCACAGGAAATGAATTAGGAAGCTTATCGTATATTGGATTGGATCGGAGGTCCAGACGAGAAGTGTGCATATACGGGATATAACATTAGGGCGATAGGACAAAGGATGAATGATGCAGGCTAGCTGTGGAGGTATGGAGGTCTGATGTATGGAGGTAAAGGGATGTGGATGTGGATGTGCAGATGTGGATGTGCAGAGGTGCAGGGATCTGGATGGGTAGAGGACTGGAGACATGGATAGGGTGTCCGAAGGTCCGGATGAGGCATGGGAATATTGTTGGATGTAGGTCCGGAATATGGGATATGACAG